CAATTTTTCGGGAAATTCAAGAAACCTGCAATTTGATAATCGGGTTTTTCCCGCACCAAGTTAATCGATAATACTAATTCGGAAAACCTACAGATGTAAATCAACAACACTTCTAAATACGTTTAGCATTTATTGAAGTAGATTCCACTGCGTGTCCTAATTCCCCACCCATAAAACCCTATAACCACTGTTTTCGTAGGAGAACATACAGGGAGTAGGGATTAATGAGTGGGCCTACATAAGCTACTGTTGCCCACATCTATTAAGTAATAGTGGATCGGTTATCGAACTGCCCCGACTTACAATAGTTGTTTTGCTGGAGTCGGAAATTTGATCAGTTTGTTCTGTGTGATTCGGGAGTAGGGCTCCAGCCTTCGTCTTGTCAACTCACCAGATGATCGATGACCACTTTCAAACTGGCGTTAACCCATATATAATTTGTTATACTAATAAACAACCTTATGCGATTTTAAGACTTAAAAAGTTATATAAAAGTATTATAGCTTTGTTTTGAAATGCTAAAATGTTTTAAAAAGCTTCAAATTCAACAAATATGAGAAACCGCTGTAACACTGACCAATAAATGTTAAGAGATTTGTCAGTTGAAACCGTTAACATCGCATTCTGTGTATATTAAGAGAACTTTCAAGCTTATTTCAATAAATTTAGCTACTGTTCTATATATTCATCAAAACCCGCAAAATAAGAATGTCATCAAATCTCAAAGCCCCCCCCCTCCAGATCCAGTTATCCTGAGTGGCTGCAACAACTATTCGAGCGATCCTGCTCCATTCACCGCCATCCCAATAACGGAGAGGCAATTAGCAATCAGGGAAGGTGAGCCAAGAATAATATCCTATGTCAGGATACTTTGAACTCTCGGAGGTTGAACTTTTCCGTCCCACATCAGAGAAATTAAGTAATTTCTTGCTGCCCTGTAGCAGCAACTAAACGGAACTGTGCCATTAATACTTCTAAAGACGATTCCGTATTGCAGTTGAAGTGAAATTTACCTTGTGTTTAATGGCTGCATAATATTTTTCATTTCAAGAACTGGCGCCTACATTTCAGATAAGAAATGTGGGCAAACGTCCATCGGTTAGGGAAACCCGTTTTAAATAAACATTGCCAATTTGATTTTCGAGGTTTGATAAATAAAACGGCTAGATGCCGGCACCATGGTATGGCATCGAGTAGACCTTCGACGGCAATAGTCATAAAAAGTTAGTCATTTCGACTACTACAGAAACAGCGATGCAATTTGCCTGTTAACTGGCAATTAATAAATAAATTTACATGTACCTTGTTTTTGGACCTAAAATGGATGCATATAGTTTTTAACGAGAAGACTGTGTTGGGAATGCCTCTAGACGGCTTCATGAAAATTGCTGGTCAGCGAAGCGTTTTGGATGTTTGAAAATATTCGAAGGCATGTCTTCAGCAGCTGAGATCACTGTAATCGAAGTTACTTCTTTTAGGAAATTTCTAAAGACAACTGAAAATAATTCCGCCCTCCAAACGAATCAACGTCATGGGAAACGCTCGAAAAAGTGTCTTTTTCTAGTGGGAGAGTTCTCACCGGATGACAGCCACTGGTCAGTCCAGACGTTAGATCCGACCTCCGGTCTCCAAGCTCCACTTCCCCCAATGGCGCAACGCCATGCCGCTCAAATGGTTGGCCTAAATGGTACGTTAAAATTGGGAATCTTATTAATGAATGAAGGAAAAAATTCGCGTTCTAAGTATCTGCATGGATAAGGAAGAAAACGTGTCAAGCACCGGATCAATCGATCTCTTGTCCTGCGCTTTCGAAATTCTTCAGATATGGATTCCTGCAAGAGTTCGGAAGCTCAGAACAATAAATCAATTTATCCGGTGCTCGACACATCTTCTTCCTTATCCAGTCTTATTACTGTTTGAGCCGCATGAGGAACAGGAAACTCAACAACTTGCTTGCGAGGTCACATTTTAACAGCATTGAAGACTGAGTCAGTAACCGATGGGTTTGTTCTGATTTTAGCTTCCGCTGAGATTGGTTATTTTTTCCTAACCATGTTGTTTGTTGCTAGATTCATCACATTTATTAGGTTCTTCGATGCTTATTCGGCGAAAACAGGAGGTTTCCATATCGAAGGGGAAAACGCAGGGTTATCGGGTCAAAACAGGTTTTGGAGAATAGTAAGAGAAACTGTGCCGGTAGGAGGAGGTTGTTCTGCTAGGGCGACGGAAAGAGGCTCGGTATGAACCGCCTTTAAGTGATCAACTGATACCATGTCGGCGCGATCGCCATAGGCAATCTTGAAATGCTTGTCCGTACTAGAGAGTAATATAAATATAATATTTAATCTATACAGAGTGTTCCAAAAAATGTATACACATTTTAAATAATCATATGCTTGGTCTTTATCATAATTTTATTGTTTTATAAAATGTAAAAATATTAACATGTATCATTTTATTGTTTTTTCACTACATTTTGACTATTGAAACAGTGGCTGAATCGAGAGAACACGAATGCGCCCGAATACCGAGGTATTTTTCCATGGTGTATGCAATTCCGTTGCTTCGCGTTGTCAGCAATGTCATGATCATAATGAACTTCAGTTTGAGATCATTTGGTTATGAAAAACAATAAACTGATACTTCTAAATATTTTTACATTTTTAATGAGAAATGTATGATAAACATTAATTTTACAATTGTGTAAATTGTGTATACATTTTCGGGACACCCTGTATATGACATATTAATATGTAATATATATTATAGGCAGAAAGACATTACCAGCAAAGACATGGGACATTAGGAAGGCCTTTTCTGCCTCATTAGGCGTCATCGGCTAGTGATATCCAACCCCAGTGTGGCCGCTGAAATTGCTGCCACACCGAAGTTTGAACTCGCGATCTCTCGCGTCAGGGCGAATGTCCTAACCGTTGAGGTACGAGCTCACTGGGGGTATAATATATAAATATAATATAAATGGTCCGTCGTAGGGCTATTTCAGTGGCCGACGAACACCATCTATGCGGACAAATAAGAAGGAACACATTACCAAATTATGGTTAATGTGTGACTTATGTGCTGGGGCGCCTGGAGGGGTTGCTCGCAGATTAGCCATTGCTTGGCGCAGTCTTTACACCTAATCAGTAGGATCCAAGTTGGCTGAGATTTGAGAATACCCAAAACAATCACGTGGTGTCCGTAGGGAACAAATTCGGCAGCGGAGCACTGCAAGTGAGGCTTGAGTGAAGTACAGATACCGAGCTTGACCAAAAGCAGATGTTCGCTCCAATGGGAAGGGTTTTCATAAGCTCGGTACGAGGTTTTGAGTTGACGATGGGAAACCTCGACTACACCGTTTGACGAGGAGTGTTATGCTTTCATGCGTATGCGAGAACATTCGAGGAGGTCGGTAAGGCTATAAAAGCGTCTAGACTCAAATTGCGGGACTCGACCAGTTGTAATAATTCAGAGGACGCCAGTGTTCCGAAAAGGCGTAAAAACCAAACCCGCAGTTTTATTAGGTATTTCAGTTGCAATGGGCCAACGCTTAAATCGGTCAATAGCAGTAAGTAAATGGTTGCAACCACTGGATGCTGACAAGGGACCTACCAGATCGATATGGATATGTGCAAAGCGTGCGTCGGGTGCAAGAAAGGTGATGCTCAAGGAGCAACCATCGGAGGCCGAGGAAACTCAAAAGCCGAAAGGCTGGCGCTTGAGGCATGGTACTCAGATGCCAACTCCGTCAACAGACATCTAGACCCCCCGCGGCCTACAAAGTCTTAAGCCATGATGTAAGCAAAGGACGGAACAAGGCCAAACATAACGTCAGAAGAAGAGGATCCCACGACAGACCGGCCAGAAGAGGAGGCAGGATCACCGGGACCCTCTACCATGGGGACAAGGCATTACAATAATTGCTGTTTATGACCCCGAACGACCACCGACCTCAATGACAGTTAATAAGCGTATAACACTATAATTGCCCCCACCCCTACCTCCATCCTTTTTCGGTTGATGTTTCTTACCCCCTGACGCTCTGATGACCGCTGGCAGTCGATTGGCCTATGGCCACTATAATTATCCTCCTTTAGGTTGCTGTTTCTTATCCCTGAAGATGGACTCCTATAAAAGTTCGAAAGTTTAGGATAAAAAATCAACTGATCCGGTGCTCAACACCTCTTGTTCCTTGGCCAAACATAATTAGACGCGCGTGGCCAGATTCTGAGGCTGAATGCCTGATGTGGTGCCCGCACGCGATTACAAACAGCCCTGGCATTGGTTGAAACGAGAAAACATGTTGAAAAAGTCGATCAAGGCGGTTGGAATAATGGTCAACTGAAATAAAGCGAAAGCATCCAAATAGAAATTGTTGGCAGGCAATGAAATTGAATACACAGTGCACAAGTCTGGTCACCAATGTAGGATACGGAGTAATCTATCATCAAATGTAAGATAAGAGTATCCCAATAAATATATACAAGTAAAATAAGAACAAAGACCTTGTCAAATAAGAAACAGTGTTATTCTCGTGTGTTATTCGAAGTTTTGTAAATTATATGATAAAGCATATTGAAGCTTAATAAAACAAAAAGCTGTTTCATATCACCACAATATTATAGATCAATTCACATGCTAATCACCACCCCAGTAGGCTGCAACGAATGCCATGGATAGTACCGACAATGACGCTGCCGGCACGATCCCTCTGGATAAATATTCATAATGTACTATAAAAATGCGTTAAATCTCTACCTGGTTTTGTTCAAGTAACTCAAGTGGCTCAACTCCAACCTTGTATTCAGGACTGGCCTACGTGATCGGCGGACAGATAAACTCAAAAGTCTCCAATTCAGTAGTAGAATTTAATCCCAAGACCGGTCGGTGGCGACGAGTCGCGTCAAGTCTTCTGGCTCGTAGCGCACACTCTGCGGCCGGTTTTGGCAGCGCCATCGTCTCCTGTGGAGGATGGGACGGCAGAACTGTAGTTGGATTTGCTGAGCTGTTTCTTCCAGCAAAAAACAGGTAAGCACAATGTGGTGGCTAATGTAAACCGTAATGATGCTGGTGGCTTTATTTTCTGCTGTTAGACGTCCTGGTCGTGATGGTATTGTTTTTGAACAGATGCCAGTTATTGGATCTAGGGCAAGTAACTCACACTCTCGTGTCTATGGGGAAAAATAGTATTGCATTTCATATTTGGGTGAACTGGACTGGGCGCCAACAAAATTCTGGCAGCGTACTTCATAAGTTCCATTCTCTGTAGAATTGCAGTATTTTCCATGCACCTCTTCTTAATGTGTTTACTTGCTGTAATTGAAAAAAATAGGAAAAATGGGCTGGAAATGAAAGAATTAACGTTTCTACTAATATCGGAGCATTTTCATCATATTTGGTTACTCTAAAGTTCCGTTATAATATTCGCAAAAGCAAAGGAGATTGTCAGAATAAACGGGCTTTTTGCGCTCGATTAGCGCTCAAATTGCTATTAGGAACTAAGACTTTGCGAAAAGTGTTAACCGCCTATCTGTTCCGTTTCTAAGTTATACAATAGCGGAAACAATATTCTACAAAAAAAGTATCTTGTCACCTGTTTTATAGTTAAAAAGATTGCTTCTATGTCTATTTTCACAATATCATGTATGCATTTATGATAACGGTCCGAAATCTTCATATAATGTTGACCTGACTGAAATACGTTAGGTTTATGGCGCACGGTAGCCACTATTACAACCCTATTCGAGTAACCTGTTCGGATCGGAGACGCGCTTCAGACTGCCGGTTGGCATTTCATTTGAGAAGATATCTTCTACATCCATGACAAAAAATCTTTAGCGTAAAAGAAAAGGATAAATGGAATGGCCATTTCTGCTTCACTAGCCGTCATCTCCTATGTCTACTCAACCCCAGGTGTCGCAACTCGCCGAGGTGCGAATCCGCGACCTGCTGGTAGACAACCACGATTTATATAATGAAACAGATGCATGATCTGACAGCATCTATATGAAAGTAGGGTTTTCAAGGGCTCTGCCTATCTCCCTTACATATACTGAATTATATAAAACCAGCTGTCGCAAGTCCCGAGGTGCGAACCCGCGACATGTGACGCAATGACGTAATGACGAGGCCCTCGGGGCCTTAAATATAAATTTTTTTTATGCGGGCAATAAGGTTTATTTTTAAAGCACATTTTCGGTACGGTCAAAACCCCGGAAGACACAAACTTTGACACCTTGGATAACAGGCTCATCGTTCCGTGTTTTTGGCGTCAGTCTCCTTCCGAGCCGCGATCAGAAGGACAGGAACTCTACTGGCCTGTCCTTTTGGATTCATGCCCTAGCCCATCATTGGCGACATCATCAGGCCCCTATCTGCTGATTTCGTGTCACGATTTAAGACCTTAACGTACATTATAAACTTTAGTAGTTTACCACAAACAAGGTATTTGAAGAGATTTATGTGTGTCAGATCGAACTGGTTATAAGAAAATAACACCTGCTGAACAGCGACCGTGCTCACTTCAACAAGCACATTTGCCCGTCTGTACTTTCTCTTCGTGGCCAGGTACAAGCTTTTAAAAGTGTTTTCCTAACATCCTCCCTAGGTGGTTCCGTCTTCCAGGCTTGCTCGACGCCCGATCTGCTCACTGTGCAGTGGCTCAAGAAGAGGATGGCCGCGTTTTTGTGACTGGTGGTGAAAATGAGTTCGGTAATGAATTGGATCTGGTCGAGTACTGCACTCTTCCAGTCGGCAACTCTGCAGGAAGCCCAGAATCGCATAGTTTCCTCACCTGGCGTCGGGCGGCACCGATGAATCAGAAACGCCAATACCATGCTCTGGCCTATGCAAAGGGCAAAATCGTGGCTGTAGGAGGTGTTATTAATCGCCGAGAAGTCACGCGGACAGTTGAAGTATTTTCACCTCCAGATCGGGGTAATCCCTTGGGTCAATGGACATTCGTAAAGCGTCTCGACTTAGCATATAACTATCCCTTTGCTATTGCTGTGGATGGTTACTTCTTTGTTTTTCGTGAGTCCCTGCTCCTTGATCTTGCATTTGGGTTTATTAGTATTAGTTTTAATAAAATTTAGGATAACGTTTTGCTATTTGACGCATGTATGTTGAGTAGACGCTGGTTTAGTGACAACCATTTGTAGTCCCTAAGATTCTGCTTTCAACTTATGTGTTCTTGTTGGGGCCAACGTGTGAAATAGGAAAGAATGCAGATGATAAATCCATGGGGATGGTGGTAGCTCAATCGTGCAGGACCCCAAGCCGTTACTTACTGCGTTTTATGGGGATAATACCAGATGCCTAGTTATCTAGACCAATGATGTCTAAAGGTGTTTTTTCCATGGTTAAGACATTTTGTACACAAGGTAAATTACTCGACGACGTGATTTTACTTTCAGCTGGATGCAATTCGGAAGACTTCCAAGATACCCCTCATACAGCTTTGGTATGTTTCCGTTTATTTGGACAATGACTTTGTAAACCCCTTTGTTTACCTGGCGGTGTGTCAGATGCATCTGTGGCGCCTCCTTAAACATTTCACTAATTAAATAATATTCCCAACATATGAGTAGTACTCTTCTTATAAATAACTACTGTCCGGAGATTTCGTCGTATTAGTTTGGATTCAGAAGTATCCCGTTTTTCAACTGAAGCACTGAATCGCTGCTTTTAAAACATGTTTGATAGCGGATGGCTAAGATTCGGACATCAGCCTAATTTTTGCATTGGTATTTCTTTCCGCCAGGTCAGCAACTTATTTCAAATGACAGATCCGGACGATGAAATCTGGACTGATGTGGGTGCCCTGTCAACGGTCCGTGAAGTGAACGGCGTTATTGCCTTTCCGAGCGCTTCACGTTTTCAAACTCTGTAAACTTTAGTGCAAATAAAGCTTTCTGCGAATAACATTTTTCTGTCGTCTTCAAACCTTAAACTTTCCTCTGTCGCTAATCTTTTAAAAAATAAATGAGAGCGCAAAAAAAGGAGTAAGTCAGCGGCGTTTTTGGCCTGACGAGTTCGAACATCGTGTCATGAATCTTTTATGTGAACATGGGATCCTTTTGATCTTTGCTATTAAGGTATTCGTTTGTTGAAAACTTCACTTGGTTTAAAAGCACAATTGTACTGATGGGGTAAAAATATGTTTTAACTAACCATGAGAAGGAAAGAATTTATTCGATTGCTGATGTTTCACATTTGTCATGAAGGTATTTGAGAAATTATTGCGTAATGACACAGCACCACTATAGATTATCGAATGCAAAAGGAACTGAGGTCTCATGATGATGATAATGACAACATGATCCCGAAAATGTCATGAAAATCAATTAAAACTTCCTCAGTGTTGAACTCCTCATATAAACAAAGCTAACAAATGCAGCATTCAGCGACTGGATATGGTGGTTTTGAGTACTATAGTACTCAAAACCGGCAGAAAAAAAGCTGCAGATCGTTTAGGGACATTTGTTCGGCACGGGGAGGGTTGAGACAGGAACACAGTGTTCTCAGTCTTCCTTGAATGTTTGTCGGCGAATAGTTGCTCGCTGTCGGCTGAAGAATTCGCCGATTGCGGGCCGCAGATTCAGTACCATTATCTTCAGCATGAGGCCTGGCAGGGTTCAAAGTTCATGAATGCCCTCAGAGTGAATGAGAGATTGATTCGTGAAAGTTGTCCTGAATGTAGAAAACTAGTGATAACCCTCTTAAACATATTCGTGAAAGTTGTCCTGAATGTAGAAAACTAGTGATAGCCCTCTTAAACATCGGATAGCTTTGCTGAGCGTTAATACTTCTGGGCAGCTTATTCTAGATTTCTATGGCGTTTACTGGAACAAATTGACGGTT